TGTCAATCACTCCAAGTGACATACTCTACATTTACATGGACAACAATATTCCGATTTTAACACGATTAAGACAATACTCTGATTAAGAATCTATCATGTAAACAGAGATTTTTGATTACCTTAATCCAACTAAAGTCATACTCGAAGTAAGCACAAATCGAATTAAGACATGTGGAGTATTCCTATTTTAGTCGCATTATTGAAGTGCAGTGTAGACATGCACACACCTTAATCATATTATTACCGTCGTGTAGGGCTGCACAATTAATCAAATTTCTAATTGCAATTACAATTATGGATGCCACAATTACGTAATCATTCAAAGCGGCAATTAATCGTTCAAGGTCAACTTATGTTATTCTGCACACTTAAGATATGTTTTTTTTCTTTCTACATGTTATCTTAAGGGTTTTTCCATTAGTTTAGTTTTAGTATAACATTATAATATCATTCATATTTTTACTGTTTTTTTATAATTTAAAGAAGAAACCAATCCGATGTATATTTGACATTTGAGGCTTAATACTATAGAAAAGCACTAAAGGTTTTTCAGTTAGAGTGTTTTCAGCTTGTTTATTTTCATATAAAAATACGGCATGCAGTTGCATCAAACAATGGTATAAAAATCATTCAATGTAAATTGTGATAATCGTAATTAATGACCGCAATTACAATTTCAAGGGAATAATTGACGATTATGATTTGTGTCATAATCGTGCAGCCCTACCGTCGTGTAGAACTTTTCACCACATTTTGCGACGGAAAACAAAAGAGCATGGCTTCAACAACGCCATCGTCTGTATGCACGTACAAATAATTAACTGCACTTGAAGCTTTCAGTAAAGTAAAAATTAAACACCCAAACTGTATATGGCATCATAACGAAGACAAACTATATGTTTATATGTGAATTTCTGGAGGGGACGTCGGATGGCGTCGCGTGGTGATGTAATGACGTCCCATGAAATATGAAAGGAATATTCTGAAATCAACTCATGTAAACACCTTAATCATAATATTGTCTTATTCAGAATAAGGTAAATAATTCGATTACTGATGTCCTTGTAAACGTAATCATTGCTGGCAATCTGATAATACTAGCTAATTGAAAGCAAAAGTCATCAAAACCCTGTTTCGGTCTCCAGTCATCAGTCTCCACCTCTTCAAGCGTGACCCTGCTGGTGGTTTGTTTTTTCAATATCTTTGCAATGAAAGTATAATCAAAACAAACCAGTATGTTAAAAATCTAAAATACACCATGGTTGACAGCTGTTAATGCACAATTACCATTTTAGATCAACAAACTGTAATACTCCATAAAATGTTCTATTCGAACTGAAAGTATAAATCTAGGCTATCCACTGCCATTTTCCAAGCACAACACAAAACATTTCATGAGATTTCATTCACTGAATGCTCTTCAACCCGGCAGTGCATATATTTACTTGCCGGCAACCCAACAAAATAAAAGCTTCCTGATTTTAAGTTTGAAAATGATGAAAATTCATATTTTATATATATGTAAATATTTGCATTTTATTTTTAAGTTTACTGTAAAATAATTGTATTTTTATTTAGTACTCCCTTCTTATTTGAAAATAAAATAGTATTATCACACTTATTTTGTTTATTTCATTTAAAAAAACTAAAAGTACAATAATATTATCGCTGTTATTCATTTATTTTTTATAGTCATATTTCACGGGTCACACACTATGTGCAGTGTAAGTACCAAATCAAATCTCCAGGTGTATTTATGAGAACCAGACTGAAAATCTTATTTGCACCCGTTTATTGCAATTATTTGTGGGACAATATCTGGCACATCAAAAAGCCTACTGTCCACACGAGGCTACCCACTCCATGTCATATAAACCACTTTAATTAGGACACTCATAAAATTCTTCGAGAATATCATTCAATTCTGTAGACCATCTGCTGGACATTTTAATAAGGATCAAATGAGTGAGTTCAGCTTTGAGAATGAAAACCAACCTGTTTGTTCCTCAGTATCTTCATGTTTGACTCTGAATGCTTCTTCAATCTTCAGGTCTTCACTCTCCTCTTTAATAAACGCCATCTTTATAATAATGTGTCACGTGGATCTCAGTTGCTTCAGCAGGAGTTTTTCTGTGTGCTTGGACACTTTGCCCTGTTTAAGATGAGAATATATTTAAGAGAAAGTAAATTATTCTCAAAAATAAATGCGTCATAATGAGCTGCTTGTGAAGATAGTATCGACTTCCAAATTATAATATTTTAAACCCGAAATTCAAACATTAAAAGCTGTTTTGTTCTTTATGTTTAGCCAAAAGCCCCATATCTTTTTGAAGATGGACCATTTATTTCACAAATAAAACAGTCTATGATTTATAGGCCTACATTTTTAGTTGTCCTTCAAGTACTAGAAATCCAAATGTCCGTGATGAAAAGCAGTCTGCGCTGCAGGCTGTGGTAGATTATCGCTTACCTTAAGTATTCATTTAAATAAACGCATCTCTGAAGCCCTCGTTTGATGTTTTGGGTATTTAAATAAATAGCCAGATTGCAAACAGATTCAATCATCCACGCAATCTTGTTAATAAATGACAGGATTCAGCTATATCTATTAAACCCTTGATTCACACTGTGACATTCAAATCTGCGTTTGTGCTGCCGCTGAATGTATATGAAAGATCTTTACAATATCTTTAGTATCGTTATTTCTGTGTTACAACCATTCAAATAGTCACAGAAGTACTGGGATAAAAGTTTATAGTTCGGATATAAACACCGTTGTCTACAGTAGCGATCAAAATAATAATAATAATAATCAAAATCGAGTAAATCACCTTTTGGAAAAGGGCGACGCTTCAAATAAAGTTTGTATCAATTACAACGCAATGCCAGCAGGTGGAGACGAGTGACTTAAAAACGGATTCATTCAAAAAAGTTGATTAATTCAGGAGCGAAGCAAGTGAAGTCTTTATGAGCGGGTCATTGAATCATTTGTTCAACTTAATACTGTACATTATTGTTGCTCCTCTATGCCCCGCCTTTTTGAAACGCGTCGATTTTTACAAAGCTCATCGGTCTGAAAAGCGAGGTGTGCTCTGATTGGCCAGCTATCCAGTGCGTTGTGATTGGCCGAATACCTCAAGCGTGTGACGGAAATGTTACGCCCCTCACATACTGTGTTGATGCCGTGTCCGGCCGGAGCGACGAGACAAAAACATTAAAACCCATAACAAACGAGGCATTTGTTGCATCCAGTGGGGACATAATTGCTGATTATAATGACTTATACTGTCTTTTTACGCGTTGCTTCGCGCCGCGTAAACATTTTTGTAAACAAATTTGTTAACTTAAAGTTTGTTGAATATTGAATATATTTTATAAATAGACTGCAGCCATTTTTACTAGAAACTCTAGTAAACTAAATGTCATTTTGTTTAGTTGTCGTTTTTTTTTTTTTTCAGAATCATGGTGAGAGAATAGTGATCTCTATTTTAAAAATAAAATTGTTATTCTCCATTTTTGAATTTATCCAGAATCGCGCAGCTCTATTTGGTCATTTATCCACATGTAAACAAATAAATGACTTTAATTTTAGATAAAGCATCAAAGATGTGGTCAGTGAGGTTCCGCATCCAGAACGTATACATTTATTTTGTATTCTACAAATGCATTTTCATATTTATGTGCTTAATAAAAATACCCTGCAGTACTATTGTATTGTATACTAAACTGGCATACCTAAAATTGCTCAATCGGAACAACTAATTTTGTGCTTAATGCACTTTAATTAGGGATGTAACGATTAAACGCGTTTGCTTCAAATTTCTAAATTATACAATCTAATTTAGATTAAAATCTGCTCATGTTGCATGTATGCAGCATCTTTGTTTGGATCATGATTAAAATGCAGTGGTTGCCTCTAATTTTAAATGTTAAGAGCACAGACAAAGCCTTATTTTGTGTATATGAAGAGATTTATTTTATTTGTGTTACTTATTTATTTGATTTGGGGCTTGTTTTAAAATTCAATGTAGTTTAGTTATTTACATTTACATTATATTTAAATTGTATTTGTTTAGCAAACGCTTTTATCCAAAGTGACTAACAAATGAGGACAATAGAAGCAATCAAAACCAACAAAAGAGCAATAATATGCAAGTGTTATATTAGTATATTATTATAGTGTTATATTTCAATTTCACAAAGAAATGTGCAGCATTTTGTCCAAGCAATAATAAAAGGACACATTTAATTTATAATTTGTCTTAAATCTCATTTTGTTAAAAATAATAATAATCGTGAATCGAATCGTGAGTTGAGTGAATCGTTACATCCCTAACTTTAATTTAACTTAATTAAATAATTGTGTGGAAGTAGTGCTTAAGTCCAACTAAAGATATACATATGTATATTTGATTGTGCTAAAGTCGAACAATCGCAAGTATACTTCAGGCACACTTTAAATATATTGCATTTAAAGACCAATATTATACAAACATTATACAATTCTAATTTATAGTGACATTAAAACACACATTAGGTATAATATTAAGAAATGTGAATTGTGCAATAACAAAATAGTCGGAATGAAGCTAAATTATAATTTTATCGGCCTATCAGTAAGTGATTTGTCAATATTAATTTGAATTTTACTTAGTATGAAATAAATGTATTTTAAATACATTATTGCGGAGCTTTAATAATAATTATTATTATTTTACTGGGGCTAAGCCCCTTATCTCTCCCAACCTTAGCTACACACCCCTATTCCTAAACTGTTATTAATTTATGTTGAAATAAACATAATTCACTAAAATGAGACCGTTTCTGTTACTCAAGTGCAGATGCGCTTAACTCACACAAAATAACCGTCATTAATATCACTGGATAACACATTTTAGCGTTTCATTCGGTAATGATTAATTTCACAATTTCATAAAAAATTCTCTAACCGAGTTTTGTTGATTTAAACCCTTTAAATAGATAAACATAAACACGCAAACCTTTCTTCAGCCGAATCACAGACGCGGGAGCGCGGCGCAGCTTTATGACGTCATATCTCCAGACCAAAATAAAAGTCTTGTTCGCTAAAGCATAGAATTTTACATCAGAAAACACATATAAATAAGGTATATTAGGAGCCATCATAACCCCAAAGCTATCAATACCGTTGAGCTGAGGTCCATGACTGTAAAGAATTACACTGACTGCGAGTTTGAAACCTGGATGAAAACCTTTGATAAAAATGGTTAAAATAATTTATTGTAAATGTAAATTAAATGTGAATAAAATTGATTAAAGTGTTATTAAAGTTAGCAGTATATAATCTGCGCTAAAATGTGATTATACACAAGTTACCTATTAAGCTCTCAGATTTCAATAATTGGAAATTGATTTATAAACATCCTTTTCTTCTTTATATGAAATCATATGATTTCAGTGATAATGTTCTTTGAGTAGTTTTGTTTAAATTGGAGTTTTTGCAGTATAAATTAAAATGGTTCATTGGTTATTACCACTTCAGTTTCTTTAACTGGCAAAAACCATGCCAACATATTCAGTTGTTACTCCTCGTCTTCCATTATTAAGAGTGAACAGTTAAGTACATCCTGGTATTTGCGGCTCTGAAGCGCAGGCCAGATGGCAAAAGTTAAAAAAAAGAGATGGCTTGGATGTGAGGGATCCAGAGTGATTTTCTGAGATTTTCTGCAGTCATCAAGACTGACTAAAGCAGAGAATCACTGTAGTTTCATACAGATTTCAGGAGGCTGTCATTAGAAGATAAAGTATGCAATATAATGTAAGCAGCTACAGGAATTTACCCAGATTTTCACCAACTCTGATTCAATCAGCATAACTATAACACTCATTATCACAGAGATCAGGGCCACTGCATTCACATTAAACTCAGGTATTGATTAGCAGCAACAAAGACACCAATTAAAGAAATGAGGCAGAAGCATCAACAGCCAATAAAGACAAAAGGTGACACCATGATCAGAGATGGGCATAAATACATGAGAAGATATTTAAAATAGAAATACAAAATACTGTGTGGAAAAAAATGTATTTAAATACAAATATAGTATTTTGTATTTTGAAAATACACAAAATACATGTGAAATTGGCCTTTTTTTTTTGATGAACAATGAAACCAAAAACGTACGATTGTTTTTTGTGGTGTACCATTCATCAGTGTCTTCACAAAAACACATAATCACTACACTGAACTGATGGTGACGCACGGTTATTAACCTAATTCTTTTGTCTCTACATAAACGTACATTTGCATAGATGGGTGAACACAATCACCTGATTTTGTAAATGTGCCCACTTTTTGGTTAAACACCAAGTTTGCACTTGTCTAAAAATGCTTACATTTTCAAAATGAACCTGCAATAGCAGAAATAATTAAAGTAATGGTCCATGTTTAATATTAACGTTAATTAAAAGAAAATGTGTAATGAATTAAAAAAAAACATACAAGAAAGCTGTCACGCTACGGTGAATGAAACGCACAAAGAAGATGATGAACAATGCAAATAGTTTTTAATAATCCACAATAGGGCAAACACAGGCAGGATGAACACGTAGGAATATAGTACACCGGACGGGTTCTTAGGAGGAGGACACAAGGAGTGGAGAAGGGATGGTGACAGGGGACGGCAATGGGCTGGCAGGAAGGCAGGCAGACAAGACAGGTGGAGGCTCCGGCGGAGGACGGACACCCGGGAAGATGACGACAACCAAAGTCCAGGGTGGATCAGACAGAGGGAGGAGCCTGGAGGAAGCAGGAGGAGCCAGCCGGGACCCAGGCCAAAGCCCTGAAGGCGGTCCACGGTGGAGACGACGGAGGGAGGAGCCATGGTGGAGGAAGGGCTGACGGCTCCAGGGGGCCGACCGTTTTTTATTTCATGAAAAAATAGACTTATTAAATAACTATTATTTATTAGCTTTTTTTCCTTCTGGGGCATAAAATTGAGGAATTTTGGACAATATTGATAATTAATATTTTGTTGAATGTGTTTTTGTGCTGGCACCTTGGCTGGTTTAGGCGTGTCATGGTTAAATAAAACCGCCAGTAGGTAATCACCGTGTTGCTCTGCACATGTGCTGATATTCAGAAAAGTACATTGCTTGTGCAATGAATATTAAAACTCATACATGGGATTTTTTTTTCTTTCATTACTTTTTCTGCATTCTAATAGATTTCATTGGCAGTGAATGCTTTTGGACTCGAGAGTTTTTTTTTATTTTGCAAAGTCGGTGATGTACTTGATAATGTCAACTCTCCTATCATCTCTCAGTCCCTCACTATCACACATACAGTACAATAACATTCTATCAGAGGAATGTCTTTAAAAAGAAGACAACAGAAGGTATTATTTTTCCTTGATTCGAATTTAAAGAATGAAAAATGTTGCGCTTGAACCATTTTGCAAGAAAAATGATGAAAACTTGCTTTAGCTTGAGCGCAGCTTGTTACAGTAACAAGTTCTGATTGGCCAATCACCATTATTTAGTTAGTAAATTATCATAAGTAGAAAATTTTAACATTTAATTTGCATGATAGGTTTTACATAATACACATTATTTATCCAAAAGGAAATGGTAAGGGGGGATGGTGGTTTTACTGAGGGGATGCTTTTTGTAATTTTTTTCAACCAGGGGGATGCCATCCCCCCTCAATACGAGCCCTGGATATGCGTGCGTGTGCTCTGATGCAAGACAATCAACAAGCCGTGAAGCTTTCATAGTGAGCCGCTCGGGTGCGGTTCGTTTAGCCGTCCCTGGCCCGGTTGGAAGAGGTGGGCCAGGGCACGGTTCAGTTGGGCTCGGGCGCGGTACGCATGCATTGTGAGCGCGGAACAGATACTATTTTGTGTGTGCTACTGTCATCATTACGACCGCAAACATATTCTATTACTACTACTACACTACACTTTTCAATAAATTTAATTCAGTCAAGTATATTTAGGTTTATAATGGCTCTGGTTCTTACCTTATTGATGAACAGGAAATTTAGTTTGCGAGTAAAGCTGCAAATTATTTCATTAAACTCAGCTGTCTCCATAATAATTTTCTGATACATACAAGTGAAAATCAATGTACGCCATACATTATAAATTCATTATTATTAATTATTCGGCAGAATATTAGTGAAAGTGGTTTTCTCCGTTATCTCATACAGGATAATCGCGCTCGGCCTCGGTTCAAGGCAACCGTGCCTAGTGTGAGTACACCCTTACACAACAATTTGTATCAGCTTAACTTGCTAGAACATGGCCTGATCACAGAGTGCCCAACACGATGGCGCACTAAGCAGCAAATGATAGAACTGATACTGGAACAGCAGAGGGGCTCTGTCACAAATTCTCTCTGAAAATCGGAGTACACAACATCTGGTTCCATCCTGGCAGGACACTGAAGTTCTTGAGTCAGTAAAACTGGTGGTGGTTGAGGAGATTCCCCCCTTCCATGTAAATTCCCCCGTCCATGCGCTTTGAGTAACCAGAAAATCGCTATATGAATGTAACAAATTATTATTATTATTATTAAACAAGGCATTGAAGGCACTTCAAGAGTTTATGAATGCTTTGTCTGGGGAGGTCAAATTGATGAAGATGTTTTCTTAATTTGAAGGATTTTTTTTTTTTTTTTCCATTTGCAGCGCGTTGAGCTCTCTCGGCCACCGTAGCAGGTCCTGTTGGGGTATGAGTGTGTTTGTTTTGGTGCTTTCAAATATCAACACCGTTTGGCAAAAATCGCTTAGTGCACTTTTAATTATTGCTGCCACTGCTTCAGAATCGGGTCGGGGCAGACGCAGGCTGACACACAATAATAATCTACCGGTCACCATTACTTTGACCCATGTTCTCACTACACGCTGTTCTGTTGTCAATAAACACACGACGATGGTGCTGCCACCGATGTTTACGTTCTCTGTCTGTGTATGTGCTATGACTCCTGATCCCGGGGTCCTATGAGGAGCTGGTAGCTGCCTCAATTGTGCCTGTAGTGGTAACCATAGTGATTATATACTATCGTCTATGACTGAGCTGGCGATTTTTCTGGACTGAAAAAATTGGACTGCTGACAGCTTGCCCCCCCCCCCGTTAAAAAATCCCATCTGCGCCCCTGCAAACAGTATGTAATTGTTTATGAAGTTTTTATTCAAGACTTACATTCACGTATTTTGATATATCATCTGGAACACAAATTATCTAGTTTCTCTCATCTCAGAACCCTAACATGTCTGCTGTGCATCTGCAAAGGTAACTTTTAAAAACAGTCATATGAACAAATAAAACAATTAGTAGTTACCTCTATCCATTTACATTCACCAGGATCTTAATATTTACATTTAAACATCTTAACAAATTATCAAAAAATGATCAGAACACACATGATCAGAATACAAACTGTATTATGTATAGATATGTTTTATCCAGTGTTGTGTTCCCTCAACCCTAACTTTACTAGAAGTGATGACTATCAATCCACAAAAGCAATATATGCCATCAGGTTACATATTTAGTACAGTATTTATACATTATTAGAAATATTAAAACACTTTTTAACTATAACTAAAAATGACTTGAAAACCACAAAAATTTGATGACTTCACGTGGAATGTCGACTCCATCATTGGCCCGTCGGCACCGTCAGAAAGAAAATCATACGGTGGTGACATCTGATGGTGTTGACAAATTTGTCATTTCTTTCACAAAACAAATGGAGTTCATTTAGTAGCCATTTTGTTTTCGCTGTTGATGCTAGATGCCAATAGAACCTGCTTCAGGAGAATAAAATGATCTAAACATTTCAAATAATTTGAGGGTGTTGACATACCATGGTTGTGACACAGGAAATATTAACATTAGGATTTAAAATATTCTAAAACTATAAAACTTACCAGAGCCTGTCTGACATTGATGTACTCTGCAGAGGTGGAATGTGGCAAGGGGTCCTTCAAAGTGACAGCTGCCCCAATATTCCCTGATTTTATTACATTTTACTGAATGTCTGATGGTGTTGACAAAAAGTGGGGACACAACTTTGAAACCTTATGAAACACGCATGTGTCACTGAAAAACAACCTTGCTTTGATAGGAGATATCATTAAGGGTTGCTTTTGATAAAACAAATCTTTTCCAATATTAAAAACCATTTGTATCCATTTTATAGCATACGAATGATTGAACACTTCTCTGTGGACACCCTGTTTTAGATTTAGTGAGAAGTCAATAAGTGTCAGATTTCATATAATAATGACAAAATTAAATTGTAGGGGATGTCAAATACATTCTATTATTAATCCCTCATAACATTTACAATTGAAAATATTTTCATTTTAAAACCTAACAACAGTTACAACTGCTGGACATATTGTGTCGCATGTCTCAAGAATCAGTGAAAGATTCTTATAACACCAATATGTTGCATTGGTGATGAAGGCCCTCCTGTCACACACCAACACCCTTTTATTCTCATAATTTGCTTACTGAAAATGTATTAAAGAATTAACAGTATTGAAGAACTCCATTACAACATATACACTAATTTATATCATCAACATATGAATTCAGATACCAAACATGGTACAGGTGAAGTTACATTAACTACAAATTCTATCATAATGCATGCATAAAACGGTATACAATACAATAGACAATATACAAGAACAGTAATAATACACATAACGACCTGAGGATATGGGTGTGCATTCTCAGAAAGGTTTGTCTATGAATTAATTAGAGAAGAGTCCTTTTCTATGGGGAAATGTAGTGAGAGTTGCTCTGCCCGCATTCCTTTGAGCAATAAACCAGTGTTATCGGATGATTTGTCATTGGTTGCCATGAAACCAGAGGCCTGTTCTGCCTTTTTGAGATGCTAGTTGCATTTTCAGGGGAAGGATCCATAGATCCTCATAGTTGGTGCTCAAGTCAGTTCAGATCAATCACTGTGAAGTTCATCAGTTTGAAATGACATAAATTCAGCTGTAAACAGCAGTGTAGTTATTCAATTAGAATCGGTTCAGTGTTGATTGAATTCAGTTGGGTAACATGTCGATGTTTCAAGATGGGATTCAGCTGTAAAGCAGCTCTGCGGAAGATGGTATGCATCATCAAGCTTGTGAGAAACTCAAGATTTGCTTTGTTTCTGGATGTCTTTCCACAGTGCTGGCACATAACAGGCTTCTCTCCGATGTCCCTGCATGACCCCTAGGTTTATCTTGTCTGTAAAACTCATTCCACACTGATGACATGTGGAAGGCTTTTCTCCAGTGTTAACTCTCATGTGCCTGTTTAGGTATCCTTTATTTCACTGAGGGGATCTGTTAGGCTTCTCTCTATTGTGAATTTTCATGTGCCTGTCAAGGTTCCCTCGTTGATTGAAACTCTTTCCACACTGTTTGCATGTGTAAGGCTTTTCTCCAGTGTGAACTCGTATGTGCGTATTAAGGCTTCCTTTTTGAGCGAAACCCTTTCCACACTGTTGGCAGGAAAAACGGCTCCCTGTAGTGTTTTCTCCACTTTGATTCAAACTCTTTCCACACTGAGGGGATCTGTTAGGCTTCTCGTTATTGTGAACTTTCATGTGGCTATTAAGGTTTTTATTTTGACTGAAACTATTTCCACACTGTTTGCATTTGAAAGGCTTCTCTCCAGTGTGAGTTATCATGTGGCTTTTAAGGTTTCCTTTTTGACTGAAACTCTTTCCACACTGTTTGCATGTGAAAGGCTTCTCTCCAGTGTGAATCCTCATGTGCTTGTTAAGGCTTTCTTTATTAGTGAAACTCATTCCACACGGTTGGCAGGTAAAAAGGCTCTCCATACCGTGAATTCTGCTGTTTTTTCCACTTTGATTTAAACTCTTTCCACACTGAGGGGATCTGTTAGGCTTCTTTCTATTGTGAATTTTCATGTGGCGTTTAAGGGATCCAGAGTGACTGAAACTCTTTACACAATAATAGCATGTGAAAGGCTTCTCTCCAGTGTGAATTTTCATGTGCATGTCAAGGCTTCCTTTATTAGTGAAACTCTTTCCACACTGAGGGCATGTGTAAGGCTTCTCTCCAGTGTGAATTTTCATGTGCATGTCAAGGCTTTTTTTATGAGTGAAACTCTTTCCACACTGTTGACAGGTAAAAAGGCTCTTCAAAGTGTGAATTTGCTTGTGGGCATAAAGGGTTTTTTTTTGCTCGAAACTTTTCCCACACAGATGGCAGGTGAAGGGTTTGTTTCCAGTGTGATCTTTCATGTGGTATTTAAGTTTTAATTTTCCACTGAAACTTCTTCCACACTGTTTGCAGATGAAAGGTTTCTCTCCAGGGTGAACTCTCATGTGGACTCTAAGGTTTCCAGGATTAATGAAACTTTTTCCACACTGTTTGCAGATGAAAGGCTTCTCTCCAGTGTGAACTTTCATGTGGTTTTTAAGGTTTCCAGGATGACTGAAAATCTTTCCACACTGACAGCATGTGAAAGACTTCTCTCCAGTGTGAGTTCTCATGTGGCTTTTAAGGTTTCCTTTTTGAGTGAAACTCTTTCCACACTGTTGGCAGATGAAAGGCTTCTCTCCAGTGTGAATTCTCATGTGGTTTTTAAGGTTTACAGGTTGACTGAAAACCTTTCCACACTGTTGGCAGACGAAAGGCTTCTCTCCAGTGTGCATTCTCATGTGGCTTTTAAGGTGTCTTTTTTGAGTGAAACTCTTTCCACACTGTTGGCAGACGAAAGGCTTCTCTCCAGTGTGCGTTCTCATGTGGCTTTTAAGGTGTCTTTTTTGAGTGAAACTCTTTCCACACTGTTGGCAGACGAAAGGCTTCTCTCCAGTGTGCGTTCTCATGTGGCTTTTAAGGTGTCTTTTTTGAGTGAAACTCTTTCCACACTGTTGGCAGATGAAAGGCTTCTCTCCAGTGTGAATTTTCATGTGGAATTTAAGCTTTCCTTGTTGACTGAAACTCTTTCCACACTGAAGGCAAGTGAAATAACTCTTAGTTCCTGTCTTTTGATCTTTTTTTCGTGTGGAAGTCTTTTCAGACTGTAAGGAACAAAAAGATTTTTCTCCAGTTATGAAATCATGAAGATTCTCATACTGATCTTCCTCTTCAGTTTCATTCAGTCCTTCCCTCTCCTCTTTCAGCACCGTTAAGTCTAAAGTGGAAAAACAAACAAATAAAAGTTAACCCCAGTTTAATGGCATAAACCAATTAACATCAAAACATGTAGATATGTAATGCATGTATGCTAGATCCTACACCAGGGTGTCCAAACATGATCCTGGTCGGCTGGTGTCCTACACAGTTTAAGCTGACCGTTATTCAATTCATTTAAAAAAAATCTAATAGCAGATTTTAGGAAATCTAGATATAGACTGACATCTATTGTGTGCCATTTTTATGTCTCCCCCACTCAACAGTCTGATGAAAAATTCATCACACAATAATTCCTTGTGAGGTTTTATTAAGGGGGGAATTATGTTAGACAATCATAAAAGTCAGCTGTTGTACTGACCTTTTAAATGGAAAACACCCCAAAACTGACTGTTTGAGTCAGAGGGTGAGAAACAGGGTGGAAAACAATAAATCATCATAAATCATCAATTTTTCATAAATCACTTGATTTTAAATGTTTACCATTAAAACATTACAATCTAAAATGAGTCTTTAAAGCACTAAATTAAAAATGAAATAAATAATAGAAAACAGCCTAAATTTTAACTGGGAAGAGGAACAGACATTCACTCATTTGAGCTAGTAATTAGGACTGTATTAGCTAGCTTACATTTGATTTACAATTACCGCTATGATAAAAATATTCAATTCAATTCAAGTTTATTTGTATAGCGCTTTTTACGATACAACTCGTTGCAAAGCAACTTTACAGAAAATTACGTTTCTACAATATTTAGTAGTAGCTTATCAGTGGTGACTGTCAGTTTATTGACATATGGCAGAAATGTACGGAAAAATCAAAGACGTAATCAAACAGACGAAGAACACTATTAACAGCAATTATTATATGATGCAATCAAACTTATAGCAAAATGTGGTAGTTCTGTATGTTGTTTCAGG